AAAAAAGGAAATTTACACTGCCTGTAATCTTGCCTTAAGGCCATTCTAGTTCTAGAATTTCTTAAATCAAATCAAATGTAAGAGAAATGAAGTGACCTAGGAGCTCCGCCAGTGAAGACAATCTTCAGCGTTTGTTCGGGACTTGGCTCGATCTTTCAGACCTTTCCACTGACCGTGAACTAAAGGTTAGAAACATCAACATTGCTTCTTTCAGGGTTAGTGTACTTACTTCTTTGCTTTCTTAGTAAAGTTTCCATTCAGAATCTACTTCGACTATTTTACGTTTGTCTACTTTTGAAGCGAAAGAATTGATGTCTTTTGAAAATTTCTGCTTTGTTTTTACGTACGATTTACTCTTATGGAAGATCGATAGTGACTTGTAACCGGTGTTGTCTCCTCTCATAAATGTTTGACCTACACTAACCAACCTTTTTGCACAATGAGCTTCAACAGAAAGTTAATTAAGTTTTTCTGGGAGACTATTTTGAAACTGTGGGGCCATGGTTGTTTTATTTCTGCGTGGTCGTCGATTTCCTCTTTGAGTACAGGGGTAAAAGTGTACAGGTCGAACACATCTAATGCCGGTCATAGGCTTTATTGATGTTATTACATTCACAGAAAAAAGAAACCAGCTCACATATACTACTGTTGTGTTGTATCTAACCTTTGCTTACATGTTTCCACCTTTATAACTGGTAAAAGGCATAATCTTTTTGCATGTGAAAAAGCCTTCTCTGGTAAACATGTTTGTGGCAGATCATAGGAAGCTCTGTATTGGTATCCCGCCTTTGGCAAAGGGACCGAAAGGACGTTCATGTCCTCTTGCTGTTTGTGGAAAAACTAAGCGACCAAAAAAACACAGGACTAAAACACAGTTTAAATCCAGTTTTACCCAATACCACAAAATCCTTGTTATCGATTCCTGACGGGAAGGTGACTGTCCTTTTGATCATCTGGAATGTGCTCCAGATCTTTCGACTTTATTTGCTTCTTTTCAAAATTAGATGAACCGCTTTTTTATGCTTTGGTCTGGTTTTGAGGTAGCAATGGGAGGTAAACTTGACTGGTAAACTTGTATTTTTCTCTTTAAAAACTGAACTGCGCTTCCTTGCCAAACATGATTGCCTGAGATTTGCACGTCATTTAAACTACAAGCATAAAAATTATCAAATTATTAAATTGTATACAACACTACAAGATTAAATTATGCAATTCTTCTTATATAAATGACGTTACTTGACCGAACCATTTTTTTTTGTTTTTCATGCTTGCCTCTAGAAAAAATTCTACCAGAAAGAACTAAACGACTTTGTTACAGGTTCTAGAGCAACAAGCTTAAGCTACTTATACTGAGCGATAAAATGGACATAAATATAAATATAATTACCGTAAAATTCCGAAAATAAGCCCCTCCATGTATAAGCCCCTCCAAATATGAGCCCCTCAAACCGGTAACGCAAAAAACCCTCCGTTAAATCGCCCCTCCAAATATAAGCCCCCCCGGGGGCTTGTACTTGGAAAATTGCCCTCAAACATACAGTAAAACAAAGCAAAAATGGTAGATTTATTCCCAGCTATAAGGCTATCCGTAGATAAGCCCTCCAAAAATAAGCCCCTCAAAAAGGGCCTTTCAAAAATATAAGCCCCGGAGCTTATTTTCGGAATTTCACGATATGTTAAAAGTTGTCAAGCATATGTTTTCGACCAACCTAAGAAAATCGTGCTACAGATAAATTTTTATATTAAGTAAGCAATTTTACTTTCCTAGTGCAAATCTTTCCCAGGAAGTAATACTGAATTATTTGGCGGGAAAAAGCACAAGAATAGTAGCATTTGCTTCGCCCGTCTTATGAACTAAACTGTGTTTCCTTGCAAACACGATTGTTTGGAAGTTCTTCGTCATTAAAAACGTCCACAATCACAAATTTAACTACAGCACTCAAGGCTACAATCCTACAACTTGACGGGTGTTTATGATTGGTATGTATAATGAAACAACTGATAGTTTCTGATTATAAATACGTCTTTTGACGTATTTCAGTCTTTCCTTTCTCTTCCTCCGAGTGTTCGTTTCTGTTTTACTTTTTGAAAAGGCTTAGAAATAAGAATAAAAATAGAAGAGCGGTTGGATCGATTTCTACTCCATCTGAGAGATTCCAGAAAATTATGATGAAATATCACACTTGGTTTGAGACCGACAGCCATTATTGTCATTGCAGCATTGTGCCGGCGAACCTAAAGTTATTTGTCCTCTCAAATTAATAAGTGTTTTTTTAAGGTGTTTCGAGTGCTGGGCATGTTCTATAGAACAAGACTCAACGAGTTTGTAAGTCTTAAATCTTATGTATCTCTGTTACACTTATCCCGCCTCTAAGCTTAAAACCACCTGATTTATTTTCAACTGATCAAAAACTATTAGTACAGCCTAACCTGTATGTGCGACCTCAAGAGAGGATAAAGCTGGGAGAATTAATCCCCCATATAGGCCCTTAATACCCATCGTAATCCCTCAAAAGATATTTTTAGATCTTCTCGGAGATCTGTTGTTCCCAAGAGGGTTGTGTGATAACCAATCATATGTCCTTAATTTTACCAACGTTTACAGGTGGGCGAAGTCTCACGCAATGCTTCGCAACGTTCGAAGGCGTAGGCAGCGGAAGACGTAGTTTAGGTTAAAAAACTGCAGTCGTAGGAAAACGAGTCGCATGTATACGTTTTGTGGACGAATGAAACTTCAAGGAGAAAAAGTACAGTCGGCATAGAATGTAAGGCTTCAAATAATTAATAACGAAAGAACTACAGTAACTGGACATCGTGCTCCAGTCTTAGGACTCACTTGTATCAAGAAAAACAAAATGGATGGTATCAGCGCCTGAAGAATGTTCTTGGTGTAGCTTCGGTTTAGACAACAATTCGGATCTGAACATAATTCACCGTGAGAATTCAACATTCTGCAAACAGTAAGAGCGTCCAGCGTCTAGCGTCAGAACATAGCCGGAAATCATCATCACCTTTACGCGGACCAAAACTTACACCCGGCGCATGTGGCTATTCAGATACATGTACTATGGAGAAACCAAAGAAACTCTTTACTAAAAGGTTATTTGGCTGCAAGAACAAGCTTAAGACTTTAAAGAGGTCAAAGAAAACTAGTGCTTAACAACTGCATCTAAGATCAAATTAATCACGTGTAAACCACACCGTGAACCACAAAGTAATTACTTAATGCCCCACGACCACTCAATGTGGAGGGTGTAATTTGCCTTTTGCAGATTAGGTTTGCAGGTTAGAATTTGAACAAAAAAGTTAAATGTCCTGAATGGGCCCCTAAAACAGGACATTCTGCCGGTGATGAACTTACGACAGGTCACAGTACTCGTTCAGTACCTGACTTAAGTGCAGCCTTTGACACTGTTAATTATAAAGTATTATAGAAATGACTACATACTGATGTCGGTACACGAGGAAAGGCTCTTGATTGGTTTAAGTCTTACTTAAGGAGACGCATCAGAGCGGCCAAATTAAGATTTGCTCGGTAAAAAATTAAAATACTCCATTCACTGCATAACCTACGTACTTAAGAGAACCAAAAAAAAGAACACCGTTGTTGTTTTGAAGCATACTCTAAGGCGGTCTCGTTTCACACTCCCGAGCTTGTGCGTCGTGTTTAGCCTGTCAACACTTTATTTCAAACTTCATTTCCTTTGTGAATCTTCTGACAATTTTCTATGTCTCGATGCCAATACCGATTGATACATGCTCAAATAATTTTAAAAAAAAAACCTCTCAAAAACGATTCTCATTTCGCATTAAGAGTGGATAAACCGTCTTTATCCTCTCTTGTATGGCATTCTTCGCAACTCCCGCACTCCCGACACGCTTTTGCACTTTCACTCCTCCACGAAGCTTCCACACGCAACGCGCGAGGAAATATTATCCGCTGGACAACCGATACGTTCTAAAAATAACTTTAGAGGGATTACAATGGGTAGAGGGCCTATATGGGGGATTAATTCCCTGAGCTTTATTCTGTCGTGGCGACTACTTAACCAAAACACCAAAATTTTCCCATCCAAATCCTTTAAGTTGGATTCTTTCTTAAGCGACCGCAATCACTTTTTAGAATTAACCTTTTTAAGCGGCTTCTACCTGATACAATGGTCTTATCTTTGTATTCCCTGTATGCTCTACGTTACCCAGAATATGAGAAGAACTTTTAGAAAAAAAAAACATGGATTTACATATACTGTAACCTGAAATTACATGCAATAAATTCTGTCAAAAAAAATTAGATGTATCCGAACTTCTCAGTCCTCTTAAGAGAGGACTCTGCAATTCGACTCTCATGACTGACCACATCCTATAAGCGACCACTTATTCTTCGCATATTTGGGGGTCACTTACGGGAGGTTCGATTGTATGAAGTTAAAGTTAAAGTTAAAGCCCCTTGTCATTGTCAATAAATTAATACTATTAGCCATCTCGTACATGTACCTATAGTGATGTGACTCTCCTTTATGCTATTTGCATTCGAAAACTTGGAAAAGTTGTAACTTAGAACCAATGTTGCTGTTGGAAAGAGGAAACATCGCTACTCATAACATTTACTGGCTCAAAAGAGAGAATGATTTCAAATTCTAATGCATCCTTCTATACCTTACTTTGCCTAATGCTAGATAATTTCTTTTTATCCTTCTTCAAGGAGAAAGAAGACTTAGTGGCAGGTCATCTTCAAGCCCTCAGACCCGTTTATATACTTAGGGTCGGTTATTTAAACGGAATGTAGCTTAGGCCTCGGTTTAGCAAATATTTGGACCTCCAGACCTCTTCCATAGTGGGTCATTTTAAGAAAGTAAGTGCTTTTCCAGTGTACACCTTATGCTTTCATGAAACTTTTCACGATAAATAGTGTTAGGATAAAAGCGTTGGGCAAACTGAAAATGGCTGAGAACGCGGTTTTGTTAAGAACTAGCTATACTCCGTTAAATAACTGGCCCTTATTAGAGTTTGGTGTCATAGGTTCCCCTTGGAAGCTCATGAACACTCACGTTAGCGAGTGTACGAACGTCCTTTTCAATCATACTTACCTCGTTTTCTGTTTCTTCTTCTTGTTCGCGTTCCGCATTGAGCTCTTCAAGAGCATAAGTTCCCCTTGGAAGCTCATGAACACTTACGTTAGCGAGTGTACGAACGCCCTTTTCAATCATACTTATCTCGTTTTCTGTTTCTTCCTCTTGTTCGCGTTCCGCATTGAGCTCTTCAAGGGCATAAGTTCCCCTTGGAAGCTCATGAACACTTACGTTAGGGAGTGTAAGAACGCCCTGTTCAATCATACTTATCTCGTTTTCTGTTTGCTCTTCTTGTTCGCGTTCTGCATTAAGCTCCTCAAGAGCATAAGTTCCCCTTGGAAGCTCATGAACACTTACGTTAGCGAGTGTACGAACGCCCTTTTCAACCATACTTATCTCGTTTTCTGTTTCTTCTTCTTGTTCGCGTTCTGCATTGTGCTCTTCAAGAGCATAAGTTCCCCTTGGAAGCTCATGAACACTTACTTTAGCGAGTGTAAGAACGCCCTGTTCAATCATACTTAACTCGTTTTCTGTTTCTTCTTCTTGTTCGCGTTCTGCATTGTGCTCTTCAAGAGTAATATCAACTGCCCCACTGTCCCTTAAAGTGCTAGCAATCGATGGCATCTCCATTTTACCAGTTTGTAGCTGCTGATTCAGTACGTTCCTCTCAGCTAATCCACGTATTTCTCCTTGTAGTTGATTAAGGGGCAATAGCAAGGCCAGGCAGCAGGAAAATGACCACTTTGGATCCTTGCGCCATTCTTTTACGTAGTGGTAAATATACGCCAGATACTGCACTGAAATAAATTACAAACTCTTTCACATTATAACGTGGCCTTTATAGGTTCAACATAGGAAAGACCTGAAGACCTGTTTTCGAACCTTTTTTTCAGTAAGAATACCGCTTTTCAGTAGTCTTGTAACAAGCCGAAACACCAGTCAAGCGCTCAAGACAGCAAGAGTAGCTTAAAGGCTCGGTAACCACCTTCCTGGTTATCTCAAGAAGCCAAACAAGGTTGATGTAAAGTCAGGTTATCTTTTTATTCACCACTTTAGAAAGGAGAAGGGAACTGGAGGAGAAATGTTTTCCGCAATTTTTTCTTGGCACTAGTCAGCTATTGGCCAATATTTTTTTCTCTGTCCCTGGAAACAGTCCCAAAAGTCTTTGCGAAAGTTAGCCTGTCCCAGTTTCCTTCTCGTCTCTAAAGCGATGAGTTCCATGTGTTTTATCAAGATTTTTTTTCTTAAAATGATTTGTGAAATATTATGAAAAAATGAA